GGCTGAAACGTTTAATCGCTCGTTTTGGACGAAATTTCGCGGGAGATGCACTCATCTGGCACCATGATGCAGCAGTTCGCCGACACGCAGAGTGCAGATATCCGCAAAAGCGACAAGTGGAACCGACCAAACTGCTGCTGTGTTTCGGGTTTTGTCCAAGCACAGCACCCACAAACATGACGGACGTCCACACGAGACTCGGGAGTATACGTATTCTGCGCAATCTCGTCACACACATAGATGTACCACTGTGGTGACCACAGTCGTCGAGCCGTGTTATTCGCACAGATCAAAAGATCCATCGTGTGCTTGCTGGTTGGTATAATGTACAAGGCTCCCCTTGGGGAGTTAGGTGACTTGCCTCCCAGGGGCAACGCAAGAGGACATGGCCAATGGCTTCGCGGTCGCATCGTTGCATCTCAACGTCATGACGTTCGTAGTGAGTGCCGGTTTTGCGTACAACCTGCAAAATTTGCCTGGAAGTTTGCATCATGTCCGTATTATTTTTTTCTCGCTGTGACTTTTCGCGTGTGGGGGAGTGTGTGCTTTCAGGCTAGTGATTACGTCCTTTTTGCAGGTCCTACTGCTGCAATCCGCTGCGTTTGATCACTCGCTCTTGTGTACTCGTGTTGTCCCAAGGTCTATGGGGCTTGTGTGCGTTGCGCAGGAATAAAGAGGAAAACACTCCGCTAGAAAGTGTTCCTGCTTCATGTAGTATCTGAAGTACATATCTGAAGGACTTTTTGGGTCGGTTTTGTAGCCCCTGAAATAGAGCCAGTCCCAGCGGCTTTGTAGCGGCCATCACGCGCACCACCGATGTCTCGCGAGCCCCACACGTAACGGGTATTGTACCGACGGTTCCTCTGAGTGCCATGTAGAAGAAGGTGTGAGAAAAAATGCCGGCACACTAGAGAAAAAAGATATTACCACCAAAAAAGTCGGATTGGTACATGAGCAAACGCGGCATGCGGGCCGCCAACCCAAAAAGGAATACAGAAAAAAAGAAGGAACGGCCGAGTTTCGGACGAACACGGCCGTGTGACCAACACCGACATGATATAACAGCTTGGCCGTATGATTCTCAGATTTTCAGTAAATGCTTGCGCTGACCCGCGGTTGACAACACGTCCTGCTCGTCAACTCCTGCGACGCCGCTTGCCACCCGCCACCCCCCGAGTCTCACGACACCTGTTGAGCACACAAATATTTGCTGTGAGATTTTTCTGTTCGTCGCTCACGTTGTGTCCTTGTTTCTGTTGCTGTCAGAACCTTGATGAAGATTCTGGAGCAGAGAATGGGAGGGAACGCGGCAGTCGGAAGGGCAAGACACCACTGTTTGATGTGGAGTCGTTCCTTTTGGGGGTTCTCTGGAATCTCCAAATGTACATTGACGGATATGTGCCAAACTTTTACTGGAGATACAGCCCCCGCTATTCGCCCTCGTGCGCCGACATCGTCTCCTGGGTGAAGCTCGCGAGTGAAGACAAGCTCGCCAATTTGGCCGTGCCAGTTATTGGAGCGCCGCCCCTGCCGGCTTCCATTGCTTGTCTTTGCATGCTGCCAATGACAGACAGGGGCAAGAGTTTTCTTCCGAAGCGTCTCCAACCGCTTGTTAGGCCAGGCTCTCCACTGCTCGAGGCATTAGAATGGCGAGGGGTCAGCTCGGGTCTTGACATTGCCAAGATTCTGAAGACATGCCAAAACCTCATGCCTCAGGAGCTGTCGGAATTCCACGATGGCGCTCACAGCAGGTAAAGATCGAGTACTGGTTCAGAATGCAACACCCAGCGTTAAGGCATCACGAGTGTAGCGAGAATGGTTCGGGTGGGGCAAGGAGGACCCTTGTGCGTAGGGGGTGCGAGAGACACTTGGAAATTCACGCCTGCCGTAGTATACCACGATTGCCAACAGTCCCCTATGCGTAGCACCAGTGACTGATTTGGAAATAATGTTCAACCCTGTTTTCAAGCACGTTTGTCAGGTATTGCTTACAATATCTGGCTTTCGCTGACCCTCGTCTTGTCGCACCCTCCGTTGTCTGTATGCCTCGACATCACCCGGGCAGTTGCGCGTGGAAGGTGGTCTACCTGGATTTATCTGCGCGTCAACGTACGCCGCCCGCGCCACCGCCACCTTCCAAAGACTTTCCGCCGCTCGACAGTAGCAGGCATAGCAATTCTTACAAGTTCCAACGGATCCAGGTGACATCAATGTCAGCCACATCTGCGCCGAGAAACCTGCCATGGAGCAGTGCTAGTGACTCTTCTAGTGAGGAAATGCAAGGTGTTCTCGACCTACCCTACAAGAAGGCTCTCAACGGCTCTGGCAAGCCTGAAGGTGGTCGGCGACGCAGAGGCTCTGCAGGGAAAGGAGCGAGGGGACCGCGTGGGGGGGCGGCGCCTCCGAAGTCGGCTGCGTGGCGCAAGAAATCCAGCGCGCCAAGAATACGAAAAAGCGGAAAGGCGGGCGAGGGGTCAGATGCTCGGCGAGGAACAAACGGTAGAGGGGAGGATGCTGCTCCAGATTTACCACGAAGACCGCCACCGGCAGTTGCAGCAGATGTGAAGGCACGACCCAGCCCTTTCCCGTCTTCAGCACGGCCGGATTCAAGGAGAAGCTCGATGTGCTTGGGGAAATTGGCAACGAGACGGTCACATTGCCGGTTATTGTTGTAGCATTGGCATTTTCGACTGCCCGGGCTTTTTGTTAGCAGCATGTCCTTGCATGGTCGACGTACAAGCTCGTGCTTCCGACTGTAAATATTCAATAGACTACACCGAGGAGGAACATGTGAACACGTGGGTCACGGCCTCATCGCCGCGCAAGTTTCGTCGAAAATTAATAAGGTTTGCTGGCTGCGAAGTGAATCGTGACTGTATGCGACTGGTTTGGACGGAATTACATAAATCGAAACGTTGCGTCCTCGCGCGCGAGATATGTCAAAAGCAAGGGCTCTGCCCCCAAACCCCTGATTCTCGCCAGAAATTTCGGCGCGTTGTCTTGGTTCCCGGCATTTGGGTTGAGAATGTCGGAGCAGCACCCACCGGACAGTAGTTGCCACCCCCCTTTGTTTTTGACACCACCACTCGACTGCTGTCATGCTTCCGTTAACATGACGCTCTGCTCCTAGTCTGTTGAAGGTACAGCAGTATCCCATTTCCACTCAGAAGGTCTGGGACGCCTACCCATGCTCCCTTCTGTTCAAGGGGGTCCCACAATAACGGGGCCGCAGCATAGGCCGTCGCAGAGGATGCCGTGGCGGAACCAAGGAGACATCTTGCACGACTCTCACTTCAATCTCAGGGGGTTGGAGCATACCTGTGAGTATTATAAAATTTGCGTATTCAGGAATCCTGCTCGCTTCTTCTCCTGCCAGAACGCCACAGCAAAACAGAGCTAATACTTGATGTCTTCAGAAAAGAAAATCCGTGCCGGTCTCTGCCCACTCCCTTCTGTCATCCACACCGGTCCCACTGGCGACGCAGACGCCTTCCGAGGAAAGTAAGAGAGCATTGAGGGCATGTCCACGTGTAACGTGATTTATTCGGGTTCGCACGTACTAGACAATTCTCAACCCTTGATTCCGTCCGCGACAACCATACTGGGCAGATCTCGCCACGTAATCGGCGCTCCTGCCACCCATTACGAAGCTTGAGCAACCCCGTGAGTTCCCTTACACGTAGTCGCCGTTTGCATGGATTTAACAAAAAAAACAAGTGTTGCGAGTTGCTGAAAAACCCGAGACACCTACAGAACCACAAACATGAAGCCCCGGGCATGCTTTGTTCATGGCTTCAAATCGTAAAAAATCGCGTTCATAGGCCAAGCTGTCACTCACGCGCACGATGCTACCCCACGATAGACGGAGACAACAAACAGGCCAGCGACAAGAATGGCTAATACCCTCATTAAAGTACTTCAAAACCGTGTTTTCACGTTCTCGTGGCGCTCCAGAGGCGCGCGCCACCCCGCTTCCGCTTCTTTCTCCGCATCCGCACGGTTCTACCGTCATTCGGTGGGCATTCGCACTTTATGTTTACCGTTCTCATGTTGGCTCCTGACCAATTCTACCCCGCTGGCGGGTGTATGATTTCCCTTCCAACATTCAACCCATCGTAGTTTCCGTATAGTAGGACACCAGTAGTCTCCTGTAAGGAACGAGTACAGGATGAGAAGCCCCGAGAGCTGCGTAACGATTGTCGCATACCTACACCATTGACGATGGTTACCCGATCGGATATGCAAACACAAAACAGCTTAGCAAGATGATCGCCAGAACTTGTTTCCTCTCCTCCGTACCCACCCCATGCGAAACGCTTTACCCCGACAAATTGGCTCTAGTACTTCATCGTGTCCAAGGAAACGGAAGTGTGCCAAGGTGACACAAGATTCGGCACCGCCGTCCCGTGACAAAATATTCGGTCAATCGCAACAGGGTTTCCTTGCTCCACCCTTTGCATCCTATATTATCGCTTTGTCGATGGAACCGAAACCGGAAGACAACGCCGGGTTGCATGATGTACCTGCTGGCAGCGATTGCTCTGAATCGCTACGCTGGTTTTTGATTGACAAGCAATTTTGATATGTTGAGGCACGCCGGCCCGGGGGCAACCTAGGCGGTCGGGCAGCCGTTCTCTGTGGCCCACTTAACCACGTGAAAGTTGCAGCACATGCTCGCAACCTGGAGGGTTTCAACGTTCCACGACAATTCATCGCACGGGCCCACTGGAGCACTTCCAGATGGCCACCTCCGGCAGCCTCCCGGCACGTTATCTCATCCCAGGGACAGCCGTGCTCTCGAGCCCATCGAAGAACCTGTGTGTTGGTGGCGTGGGGATTGTGATGATGGTCATGAGCCGAGGAGCGCGAAGCGCGACACTTTTTCCCTTCATGTCCAGGGCGGGGGGATGCTCTAAGTATCGGGCTCTTCCAACCAACGCGATGGAGGGACCCGCAATTTCCGCGAAATAATGGCACCACGTCAAAATAAATCACCGTTACGGCCGTTTTAAACGGACCGACTTTTTTGTCAAAATTTTCGACATTTGTCTTTCAAAAACTTGGAACCTGTGTGCAGTCATTTTAATCGTGTGACGTGGACTTGTGCAACTTGTGTCAAAAAAATGACGCCGTCCGTGAGTTGTAGCGCTCACTTCGAGACAACACACACGACACAACACAAACCGCGGAAAACACGACATCATGGACACCGACATGGATATCACGACCACCCAGCGTGGCCGGCAGACCAAAACCCCGGCGAAATTCCAGCAGACGGGCTCTCTCGGTGCCGCCGTAGGCGGTGGAGGCTTGCTCTCCAGCAAGATAGTGCTGCTGCCTGGCATCTCGGGGAACACTCATGTTACCACGGGAGGCGCTGCCGCCACCAACACTCAGCCGGCGAGGGGTGGCAACCACTGCTCCTACCCCCCCGGGAAAAGGAAAAAACAAAGCGGCGGACGCGAAGCAACAACTGCAAGCCATCATGGCGGACCGCCGTTTTTCGGACGACACAGCAACAGCAGACAGCATCGTCAACGTTGGCAACAGCGACGATAGCAATAGCGACAGCGACAGATGACTCACACACAACCCTAGCTGACTTTCTACGGTGAGGGGCACTCGTGGTGCAGACGCAGCAGCCCTCGCGTGCCTCTGCAAGGGTACTTTGGAAAGTGCTCCAAATACTTTGAGAGGGTTGTCAAAAAGTTGGAACGAAGTGGAGCAAAGTTGTTGCGCCCAACTTCGTTCCAAATATTTTTGAAAAAAATGGACAAACGCCTACATACAGGTTCCATTTTTTGACACTTTCAAAAATTTTGACAAAAAGTCGGTCCGTTTAAAACGGCCCTTAGTATATACGACCAGGACAAGGTCCACAGAGCACCGATTTCCGACCTGCTGGCTTGTGGAGGAAGCTAATAAGGGCACCCTTCGCCACACACACCGGTTGCGTCGCGCTCCGAGAGCAGATGGCCGTGTCTGACAGGCTTTTGTACAGAAAAATCATAGTACTATCGGGAAGACCTCAGAAGGGGCACAGATTCAGCACGGATCCACCGCAGCTGCAGGACCCCCAAATTAGTGAGAAATGAACCTATTGAACATTCCCTGTTTTCTCCCCAAAAGCGTCCTAAACGAAAAGAGAGGAATAAATCTCGGGGATAGCCCTCTCTGAATAACGCAATGATGAGCAGCCAGCCGTAGGTAGGAATGATCTGTACGTGGAATACTCAGCCGAAGGAAAGATACATACTCGGATGTTCTCTCCAATTTCGCTGTCAGAAACACACGGTTGGTAGCAGCAGTTAGAGCTGTACAGACAGCTAGGCTTTGCAGACAGCATTAGGTTGACTGCCACATCCATAGCAGTAATAGCTCTAGCTAGTAATAGCAGGAGCAAGCTAGTGGTAGAGCAGAAATCAAGAAGGGTATGGATGTCTGGATACACGAGAATGTCAGGACGGTCGGGCTGTGGACCGTGACACGCTCTCAATCAGGCGAATATGCTGTTTATTACTATTTCGTACCTAGAAGACCCCAACCGCTCAGCCGAGACGGAGACCTGGGGGTCATGTACAAGTGTTTTTGTTGTTGTAGTCTACTCTTTTGAGCGAAGCACAATGCGCACTCGCCCCTTGTGATCACTCCTCAAATAGCACCATCCAAAGAAAACTGACCCGGAAGTCCGTGAGAAATAACACGATCTGCACATCTCTTCGTCCTATGACACACCGAGCTGCAACGGCACTCCATCCCTCTGCTCGTAGGCTAGGCAGGCATAATACACTGAGATGGATCTGTCTCTTGTAGGGAAGATCCAAGATTCTCGGACCTTGACTACTTTTTTCGGAACGAACGTTCGGAAAAAGACATGACAATGCCACCACCCCCTGCGGAACAGAGGGAGGATCAAGACACAAGAAATACTGAGGGTGACGAGACTGGAGGCTGCTCCAATGGAACGCAGCATGGTGGGGAGATCGGAGTAATCTACATATGACAACTAGCAGGTCTACAACGACTGATGCATCGAGTATGAGCGACGCGGACGTTCGGCTATTGAATCGCAAACAAGCACGCCCGCGCATGACATCATCGTCCGCGAGGAGGTAGCAGATTACAGCTGCCGAGACCGGTCGTGTGCTTGATCCCGAGATCAGAAGCTATTCCGTGCTCACTTCTTGCCGTGTACTACTGTAGGCTGCCCAGCAGGATGGCGTACTGCTGTATTTCGGTGCATGAATAACTGCCCACCAGACCCAAAATGGCCATGCATGGCAGGTCCGGCACTGCGTCAGACGTGTGGTTGAGGCGACCACCGTCGTCGTGGCGAGATTGGGCTGTAAGGGGACCGCCGGCGGTGGCTAGGGTGCCGGAGGGGCCACCGGTGCCGGCGCGGAAGCGGCAGAGGCTGCCGGAGCGGCTGCCGGAGCCGCCTCAGAAGCGGGAGCCGGAGAGGAGGCAGGAGCCATCCCCGATCCAGTGCGAAAACGAACCACTCAGCGCGACACCATATCAAACAAGTAGGTCCTCCTGCCGGGACAGGAGGCCTCACCAAGCAAATCCAATACTCTCAACAAGTGATCCAAAAACGGAATACAGCAGAACATTTTGACCCCTTTCCCCGGGGAGTTGTAAAGGGAATAGTCTAATGGACGAAGAACGAGTACAATGTCCCACGCATACACAACAAGAGTTGCTCGGCTCAAGCCAGGAGAAAGACAGGAAGCACTCAGCTAAACAAGCAACATCGCTGGGAGGGGCAACACAGCACTGGCGACGGAAGGGAGCCATGCATACAGCTCGTGACGGATGTCACTGTCATTGCTGCTTCGGTGTGTGGGGAGAGACCATGGGTAAACCAAACGTGCGTCTGGGGCAACAAAACCCAAACTTATCACAGCAGACGCGGCGGGATTTTCAGGCTGTGCCAGAATCTAATTTCTGAGCGTCCTACAGCCTCTTGGTCGGTGTTGATCACCACACAAGCCGGAGCATGGACACAGCTCGTGGCGGAATATTTACTACTGATGTTGCTTCGAGGGGTCATCTGGAAAGAAACCTACCCGTGCCACGGGGGAAAATGCCGCAGGAAGAGCCCTTTATTGCGTCCCAGGCGCTAGGGTGTTTTTTTCTCGCGTGCATGCACTGCTGCCGAATAAGATAGATGGGAGTCATTGCCACTACAGCAGCAGCAACAGCACTACAAGTGCACTCGTGGAAGCTACCACAGTTCATTTGTGTCTGTGACTGTTCATTTGTGTCTGTGTCAGTACTCATATGTGCCAATCGTTTGTAGGCGGTTCTGCTGTACCGTAGGCGAGCATGTGTGTGTGCTCCTCTGCCATCAATGTGTGATATTCAACACAGGTAGCGGGTGCACCAGTCTTGCAAGATCCAATCGAATATTGCACGTTCTGGGTTGAAGCGTTGCTGCCTGAAAGCAGCGTGTCTTGCAGTTCGCACAGCATTGCAGATAGTCTAGACTTGTATCAGGTATTGAGTCGTACCCGCGGCTTATTACCCCTTCCAATTAAAAATACGAAGACTCGTAAGTTCCCTTGTCTGCCTGCAAAATGGCGAAAGATATGGCGGTTACGCGGGTTCTGCGCGATATGGAACAACATCCCTGCAACCACCACCACGAAACACTTCCATGCCTTCACTGCAAGCAACCATACGCGAGCGACCTTTGGACCGTCAAAATACCTCTAGAAGTGCCCTTCCCAGGGCGCAAATGAGCATGTGTCCTCGTCCATCGGGCACCCGTTACTCGTTAGCCACTCCAGGATACGCAGATGCCCCCCGCTGGCAGCCGCAGCACACGAAGAAGCATCCCATGGGTACCCGTTCGCTCTTGCCCATTGAAGCATATTCAGCCCGCCGCTTTCGGCCGCGTGCGAGCAAGTTGATGCATCCCAGGGACAACCATTCTCTCTGGCATACTGAAGAACGGCGAGATGCCCGCTCCCTGTGGCCAGAACAGCGAAAACGCGATCCACGTGCATTCAGAACTCGATCGACAGCGAGCGAGGAAATCGAGGGAGACCGGATTCAGTATGGACCCCGAACCTTCGGCAATCCTTTGCACAAGTGCAGAGACAACAAACACAAACCTCGCCACTGCCCTCGTAGTACTCGAGGCACCTACATAGCGAGGAGAGCGAAAACAAAAAACACAGCGCCAAACTACCGAAAAAGGGGGGTCGCCCAACGATGTTACTACTGAGCGACACGAACCAACCGCCAGCCACCAGCCTCACAAGCTCCTCTAGCTTGTGTATGAACACGGTCAATGCATTAAGCAGCAAACACGTGCAATACACCATCATCCTCCGTACGGAAGCGAGCAGGCAGCTTGGCTTAGCCTTTGTATTGCAGCATACATTGCGCACTACAAGAGCGTTCGTCTCCGTCTCCCTCAGAGTAATGCTCAAGGAAAGGGTAGCCCTCGTTTGTCGGGCATTCCAGGGCAACACTAGCCCCTCAGCAAGCAAGAGCTTCCAGGGCATGGACTCGGTCGTTGCTTAGTCTCTCCAGGTGAAATGACAGACACAACCTTCTGTCCAACGGCAAAATTTTCAAGATATCGATCAACGCCGTAGGTGTTGGATCGTGTGGGTGGGCAGATGCATAGTACAAGTAGAGGATAGGGGCCAGAGGGGCAGACGACAGAGTCCGATGATGGGAGAAAAAAAAAAAAATCTACACATAGATGCACACCGCCCGCATCGGAGGAGGGGCAGGTCTGTCTGTCCGGTGAATGAGGCTTGGATGAGTCTGTACGATGCGATGCCATCTTTTGTGGTTTGCGCTACTCTCTTGCAGCTCAAATACCAAATATCTGAGCCTCCTGAACAGGAATCCACGCCTCAGATAAAATGAGGTTGGTGAGAGGTATGCATATGTGTCTGAGCCGTGGGTGAAAAGTGCAGCCTCAGACAAATAAAACCGTCACGGGCTACAAATTCCAAAAAATTTGACCCTCTTTTTGTCTGAGCATTTTGTCCGACCCGAAAAAAAATCCGCAAAGGGTCTCTAGACTATTTATTTAGCGTTGCAAAATAAAGACGACGGGTTGGAGTACGCGGCACGAATGCAGGAGCGGCAAACTACGTAGACGTCGAAATCGACAACATGGCATGGCGGTATAAGCGGTACACTTCCGTGCGAATCTCCTGCAACGTGGTGAGCCCACGCTTTTCTCTCTCCCTACGAGAGTGTTAGACATACTCGCAGTAGTATCTGGTAGTGAGGATCCCAGGGGGATACGTTTTGGGAATCTCGTGTGTAGTAGGGCACCACCGGTGCAGTCACGGGGAACCTTTTGGCGTGGTTGGTGCGATGAGGCTTGCGTGCGCGCTGCGCACTTCTTCCTTCCCTCTCTTCACCGTCTCTCTCCACTCAAGTTTCCTTCCCCTACTCTCTCTCCACCTCTCTCACCACCTCTCTCTCTCGGTCTAATACGGCCAACTACCCAGTGCCCCAAGTAACGCCCAGGACGGGCTTGCTGCACCCCGCGTAGATGTAGCGTTCAGAAGGAAAGCGTTGTTTGTGTCGCGGATCGGAATTCGTAAAACATAGATGGAGGAGGGTATGGTGAGTTCTGCTCTGTAGACCCCCCCCCCGGAGGACCCTCGGATCAGGCCCGCCTGCAGTTGTTCATTCTCGACACGCACCGCTCGACAGCGGGGAGCCTGTGGCACCAAGAGGGAGACAATAGAGAAGAGACTGAAAGAGTGGATATAGGATTGATCGACTTTCGTCATGCCAGCCTCAGGCGAATATTCGGAGGTTGAAGACTCAGTCACAAACAGACGTTCAGTGCATGCAGGGCGAAAGATCGCCGCAGCAGAACGGCAGTAGGGCACTTCCAACTCAACACATGCACGCTTCCGGTCGGTCGGATGCCCAGGGATATACAGACGTTCAGGGCATGCAGGGTGAGAGATCACCGCAGCCGAATGTCCGTAGGGCAGTTCCAACACAACTCAGGCAGGCATGCCGCTCGTTGAAAACCCAGACACAAACAGACGTTCAGGGCATGAAGGGCGAGAGATTGCTGCAGCAGAAAGTCGGCCATAACACAAACACTGCTTGTGAAGCCGAACCGCGTAAAAGAAGCGGGTCAGCACCATGGCTTCTTTGTGGCGGGTCGCGCGGCAGCGGATTGCACTGCCGATACAAGTCAAACATTGCCTTTCGGCATGAGCAATAAGAATGCCTCAGAAACACGGAATTGAACAGTCAGAAAGAGGACGCATCTCCACAGCTTAGCTGCGACGTGCACGACGATGATTCGCGAAAGCTGGGGAAGGGTTGGAGACGTAGCTCGAGCCCTCGGCGGGATTTTGGTCACACCTCCAGTAAACCCCAACGCCATCAGACATTATTTCGGGGACCTAAAAGGATTCCCACAAATAGACGAACTAATGACAATCGTTTCAAAGGGAGTGCCGGTGATCGCCCCCTCATCTCATGACAACCTCGAAAGTGCCCTGCAGCACGGCAACCATCGTAGTGCAGAAGAATACCTCTCGCTAATCTGGAAAAAGATCGGGAAAGATGCGCGCAGAGAAAGATGCCTCGTGATAAAAAAATCAGCAGCGCACGAGCTACCAAACTTGAGAGAATTGCCCCTGGGGGAGTCGTAACACACAAGGTGAGGGTCATCAACGACCTGTCGTTCGATCTATTCAACCGAGAAAAAAAGGGAGGTCTCAACGCGGACACGGACATAAGCAGCGTGCCCCCGAGCCTGTGCGCCGAAGCGCTGCCGACCTTCCTCAGGGAACTTGTCAGCAGGAGAGCGAATCACCCAAAGTTGCGACTGCTGATGGCAACCACCGACGTTAACGACGCTTACTGCAACGTTAGAGTAGACCCGGACAAAGCACACAACTTCTGTTATACAATCGGGGATCTCCTTATCATTGACTTCCGACTGACATTCGGATGGACAGGGTCGCCAGGCCAATTCGGAGTGATGGCATCCGCGGCAGAGCACGCCCACCGTAACACAAGCCTGGATACCGTACAACTGTTGCCAGAAGGTGTAGAGATGACGAAACATATAAAAATAGTGGACCGTTGGGAGACCGGCGACCGTACGCCCGTGCTACCCGACGTCAAGGTCGGTGCAAGTAATGGGGGGAACTTGTCAAGCCCGTTTCAAACAGTCGTGGATGTGGACGACCACGCCCTGCTTCGGGCACAACAATCGGATGAAGATAAATCCGCCCTTACCGTATCCGCCCCCCTCGCGACGGATGATGCACATCTGTTTGGGCCTGAGAAATCAGGCGAGACACCGATCTTGGCGCGCAAAAAGAGCTCGAAGTGGGATACCAAGTTGGAATTCTTGGGTTTTCAGATAAACTCTCACACCATGCAGACTCCATCACTGCAGAAAAGGCACAAGAGATAAATACAATCCTGGTGGACAATTGGCAGCGCGGTAGCCGCCAAGCGACAGCGCAGGAGGTGTTCTCGCTTGCAGGAAAGTTATGGGATCCGACGTACGTGATTCGCGCCGGAAAGTACCTTGTGTGGAGGCTGCTGCGACTCACAGATCTGCACTCGTCGCATAAGAACCAGAGCCACTCGGTAACGTTAGGAAGAGATTTCCACGACGACCTAGAATTTTGGCGATGGGCAATAGACCAAGAACTTCTGACAGCTGGGGAATGTATCAGCGCACCATGCTTCGCCACAGGCAGCCGTCCGGCAAAGAGAAACTACCTATCAGATGCCAGCTTCGATGCGATAGGTGGATACTACTGAGAGCCGAGAAAGTACTTGAGATACGACTTGTCCCTGCTTTTCTCGGCCGAACTAAAACGAAAGGCCGCATGTCGTGAGACATCTAGCGTCATGATCAACCTGCTCGAACTGGATGGGATGGTTGTAGCCGCGTGGGTCATGCACGAGCTAGTAGGGAATCGCCCAAAAAATAGAGGCGACCCGATTCGAATGCGCGGAGACAACTTCGCAACCGTCACGTGGTCAAACCGATGCGGCGGGGCACGAGATAAACGCGCATGCCTTATGATGAGAATGCTTGGCCGCCTCGAAATCAGAGGGGGCTGGAGATACGACGCCAAACACATCCCGGGCGTACAAAACACGTTAGCAGATGGCATTTCACGATGGCCACGCCCCGAAGTGGCGTATAGGGTGCGGCAGTTGACGAACACTGACGACTGGCGTGAACAATCAACAGGAGCAGCAGGTGATCGCCTTTGCGAGATCGTGCTGCAGACAAAAAACATCGCTCCTCGTCATGACAACATGTCGTGGGAGCTAATGACAGCTGCATGAGTATGAAAAAGTGCCTAGCTGTAGTTGTGCTGTCCTTCAACGCCTTCCCTTTCTCGCCGTTCGGAAATAATTCCAGGAACGGGGAACGAGAATGGGGAGATGAGCTCGGAAGTAGCAAGTTTGGTGGAGTCACTCGTGCGCGCGTCTGCGGAGGCAGCACGCATAAGGTGTATGCCGGAAAGTGGAAGCAGTGGTTGGAATTCACTACAAGGAAAGGGAGAGGGCCATGGTTGCATTTGATGGACGAGTCAGAGGTGCTCAATCTTTTGCTCGAATTCATGGCCTGCCGACTCTTCGTGTTCCACAACCAGCAATCCACTGATAGAGGGTACCTTTCAGCCATCAAGTTTCCCCACAAATAATATCTAGGGTAGGAGCTCCCTACGTCCCACTGCATGATAGTAGCGGCTGGGAAAGGGATCGACAGGATCCGTGGGGGGTCTGGAAAGGAATCCCAAGTAAGGTTTCCTCTCACGTGGGCCATCTTAGCCCACGGCTACCTCGCGGTTACGAGTTTCAAGGAGGGAAGAAAAGTCGCGTGGCTGGGATTGGCACTGTCGTACTTTCTCCTATGTAGAGCCTCGGAACTATTCGCGTAAGCAAACGGGCTCGTGCACCCGGAATCTTGTTTGACGCGCGACTGCTTGACTTTATTCCTCGGAGACACTCAGGTCAGGATCGAGGAGAGAGCACGCGCCGACACCGACAAGATTCGCTTCGTCGCATCAAAAACCGATCAGTTGCGGGAAGGGTGCACGATTACACGCACGCGCGCGCGAGAAGGGGAGGGGACCGGTGGGGCACCGGTAGGGGCGTTCGAGGCGCTGGTGGAGCTCCTCGATGAAAACCCCCAACTGCCTGGAGGCTCCCCGTTGATGACCAGACTCGCGGCAACCGGATGGAAAGTGATTACAAGAAAGGAAGCCGTTGGCGCCTTGCTAATGATGGTAGCCAGCGCCGGAAAGAATCCAGCCCAGTACGCCTTGCATTCGGGGCGAATCGGGGGAGCCACGCAGGCTAGCGGCGCAAGGAATGTCAGAGTTGCAAATTCAACGTGCAGGCCGTTGGAAGTCGCGGGCCTTTATGGTTTATGTGAGGAAGGCAGGAGAAGGTGCCAAGAAGTGTTTGCCGCCCTAGCAAAGAAGTAGCAACACGTTTGGGGTACGATATCTCAGCCTGCAATATGGTGTGAGGGTCAGGTAGCCCCAAAGTGGTGGAGGCAATACGGGTTGGCTGAGTCACCAATTTTGGGGGAATGGAGCGGAGACATAAAAGGGAATTACGCACAAGGGTTGAGCTTATGGTTTTCCTTTCGTCTGTCGGTGTTCCACACGGTGTCCCGAATTTGCCATTCAGTATAGGTGTACGAGTAGAAGAAACAATGCCAGAATTCTTGAGCAAAACAAAATGTAGCGTTCAGAAGGAAAGCGTTGTTTGTGTCGCGGATCGGAATTCGTAAAACATAGATGGAGGGGGGTAATGGTGAGTTCTGCTCTGTAGACCCCCCCCCGGAGGACGTCTGGGTGTTTACTAAGCAGAACGCCCGGCACAAGACTGGGGTACTTGTGTCAGGAGGTGTGAACTTGGATCTAGACTACGAGCCTATGTTGGAGGCGCTATTAAGTGTCGGTGAGCCGGCAAAAGAACTGAAAGGAACCACAGCCCCCGCCGGACACTCGGATTGGGAAGGCCGAGTATTCCGTATACGTTCCTGAAAAAGCACGAAAAACAAGTGGCCACGGTCCAGTTGCCGTAGAGATCATGAGGATGGTGAAGAAGCCGGGAGGATGGAAGCAGAAACTGTGGAAGGGAGACAAGTTGGAGCTGCTGCTGTTTGGGATTCCAAGGGACATGACGAGGATAGAGTTCAAGAACTGTTGTGACAGGGAGGGACTGCACTGCCTAGCAAGGGGACAAGTAGGCAGAGAACATGAACACTTCCGGGTGAAATCGACCAAGGGAGACAGCCAAGAGTGCTTGGGGGTTGATATCGAGAAGCTGTCGAACTACGTAAGGAAGTTTGGATGGGGGGTTTGCATCGCGAACATGATAGAAACAGAGAAGGTAAGGAGACAAGAGGCGAGGGCGGCGGAGGCGAAGAAAGGACCGAGCGGGGGAGGCGAGCAAGCCAGTCAGAACAAGTCCGAGAAGAAGCGGAAGGCGAACGATGGTGTGCGCAAAATCTCCAATAGGGAAAAGCGCAAGCTGAGAGTCGGGTCGTGGAACGTGTGCGGGTTCGCAAGGAGTGAGCGCAAGCGGTTGGAAATAGTGGACCAAGTAGAACAAAGCGATCTAGATGTAGTGGGGATCCAAGAGACGTGGGAATTGAAGGATGGTGACGTAGTAAGCAATCTAGGGAAATACCGGTGGGTAGGGAAGGCAAGAAAAGGCTTAGACCCGAAGAAAAGGGGGGAGGGGGGAGTCGGATTCCTGGTCAAGGAACACTTGTTTGACGTGGTGGAAGTAGTGGTGAAAACGGAATTCGAGGAAAGCCTATGGCTAAAGATACCTGGGGAGCGGGGTATGAGGAAAAATTGTCTAGGGAACGTATACGTCCCACCGTCGTCGAAGAAAGTCGCAAGCAAGGCGCAGGAGAACTTTGGACAAATTGGGGAAGATGTCCAGAGGTTCAGTAGGAAGGGAGAAGTTGTCATGGTGGGCGATTTCAACTCCAGAGTAGGGAAAGCTTCCAGTAGAGGACAGGCGATCGGGCAGCACGGAGAAGACAAAGTGAATGACAACGGAGTGAGGATGCTTGAATTCTTGGGAAGCAACGAACTGATGGTGTTGAACGGTAGGAGGGAATGCGATAAGCCGGAGTTCACCAGGCAACGGGCAGTTTGCAATGAATACTTGATCCTCGACTACATCCTGGTAGATAGGGGGAGCACGCAGATCCCAGAGCTGCACGTAAGTGCGATAGATATAGGTTCGACCGACCACTTCCTTATATGGGCAAACATCGACCGATCTAAAACGGTTTCGGACTGGAGCTCCGAAAAAACTGAAATATGGAAGCAGATTTAAGGCGAAGCGAATTTCCGGAAGCTTCCTGCCAGGCCAAACTTTCAGATTTAAGGGGAGCTTGTGTGATTGGCTGTGGGGAGACAGTCCTGTATAGATTGAGAGAGCAGCAGGGGCAGCGTCGGCCGAGGGAACGACACCCCCACGCTGTGGCTCCACGGAGACTGCGTGACACCCGGCCGTTCACAGCACTCCCACTTTGAAAGGGGGCGGGTGAGTCTGTCATGTCCCGCCTACGTATTCGCGAAAGAATTGCGCGCAAAACGCGTGCTTTGGTGATTGATGCTGCAGTGCCGGTCTCTCTTCGAGGTGTACTTCCAGTGGTGGTCCGCGTATAATCTGGCATTCGTCTACGCGATGGCCCGTCTGCAACTCGATGACACGCCCACGAGTCTCGCACGTAGGGACGTCACGGCTTCTTCAGCCCTCAGGACTGCGTCAACTTTCTGCGTTTCACTATACTGCAGGTATACCCCAGACTACGTTGAGAGCGGCTGCTTTCTACTGCTCCTTGTTTGCGCGCACGCTTTTTGGAAAGTTGTAGCACGCTTTTTCTCTGTAGAACCGCGTTGTTCGCCCACTGCCGACTGCTAAGGAACCATAGGGTACAGGTCTAGGTGCGCCCTAGAGTTACCAGTCAACTTGGTAGAAGTGGTGATCCTGAAAACGGTGTTATTTAACTGGTCCCGCAGATTACGGTAATGCTGGAGCTGCTGCTGATCCCCGCTTTTATTCGGACCACCTGCGGGTTTGTCGTAAGCGGACGGGAGGCTCTGTGCGTGCTCCTGTACCGCATGGCGTTTCCATGTCGCCTGAAGGATATGCCGTTGGTTTTCGGGATGAGCGAATCACGTATCTGCGAGGCCTTCAAATGGATGTTGCACTTCCTCGACTTCAAGTGGGGGTTTTTGCTGTCCCTTAGCGTGGAGAGTGTGCAGCTGCGGCTGCTCGAGTTCGCGGAGGCGGTGTACAACGCCGGCTGTCCTCTCCCACGCTGTTGGGGTTTTATCGACGGAACAGTGCGCGGCATTGCAAGGTGAAACATGTAGCTCTACAGCAATGCGCTCTTAGGTGGTGCTGGTCGTGTGGTCGCAAAATTGTACTCCCTACATACGTAGATTGCCCTCTGTTTCGCGCAAGCATGTTTTGAGGTAGGCAGCGAGGTTGCAGCACAGCAGAGTTGAGCGCAAGCAGATATATGAATGGCATCCAGCAGATATAAATGGCATGCAAGCGGCTGTTCGCTGGCACAGCAGGTACTGCATGGTCTGTGTCTGACCGGCGTTTTTCTTTGCCACCCCATCATCAATCCATTCCTTGTCCTACATAGGCCTAAGCGCTGGCAGCGCCTGTTTTACAACGACCACAAGGGGAAGCATGCCTTCAAGTTTCAAGGAGTGGTCACACCGGACGGGCTATTTGCGGACCTGTGGGGTCCCGTGGTGGGGACACGCCACGACAACTACATTCTAGCGCAGTCTGGGCTCATGCAGAAGTTGGCCATGTTGAACAGCCCGTCAGGTCAGCCGTACTACCTCTATGGGGACCCGGCGTACGGTTTAAGCAACCACCTAATCTGCCCTTTCAGCGCGTCTAGTGTCGGCCCTCTCACGCCAGAGGTGGCCGACTTCAACAAGCGTATAAGCGCCTGCCGCGTGACTGTGGAATGGGGTTTTAAGGAGATCTGTAACTACTGGGCTTTCGTAAACATGAAGCAGCAGCAGAAGTCGTTGTTGAGCCCTGTCGCCGTGCAGTACAGGGTTGCCACTCTACTTTCGAACTGGCACTCGTGCCTGAACGGAGGCAACGAGATTTCGCAATACTTCGGGGTGGGGCCGCCTTCTTTCGAGGAGTACCTTGGTGTGTAGGGGGGTAGGCAAGTGACGTATCGAGCTGCATGCCTTCGGGCAAGATGCGGGCTTGTTTCTTTTGTGACACGCTCTACTGAATACCACCCGTTTACGTCCTGCAAGTTAATACATTTTCTTGTTGTCGTCGGCAACAGGCACCCTAGAAATAGCGTGGCAACCGTTGCATCTTGCGCGTTTTTTTCTGGGTTCGCTTGGCTTGTGTGGGGGCGGGGCAGGGAGGTTTCGTTTTTGATGCCGCCGCGGCTGCGTGTCTTCGGGTACGAGGCGGGCGCTTTTCGCTTGGCAACGGCCAAATAAGCAAAGACGTGTCGACAGCGCTAAGTATAGAAACATAGCCTCGGGCGTTGAGATTAACGCCGAGCTTTCCGTTGGCATCGGAGTGATTGAGGCCCCCCATAACATTGATGACACCAACACAGTTGACTTCTCCGTCGTGGGCACACGCGGTGAGCAGGGTGAACAATGGGCAAGCAAACGCCGGCGAACACCGCAAATTCCACACGGAATAGACGGAGCACAATGCACAAAATGCATGAGAGCACAACTAGTGTTTTGGCAAACTACTGCTATTTCAGCGGCGTCATCAAAAACGATACCTCCTCCCCTTGCCCGCACACAAGCAAAGCGGACCCAGATAAAAACGAGCAAGACGCACCGGATGCCACGCCATTTTTCGGTTGCCTGTTGCTGGCGGCAAAAACAAAAAAAAACACTTCGTACCCGAAGACACGCAGCAGCGGCGGCATCAAAAACGAAACCTCACTGCCCCGCCCTCACACAAGCAAAGCGAGCCATATATAAAACGCGCAAGACGCAACGGATGCCACGCCAATTCTCGGTTGCCTGTTGCTGGCAAAAGCAAAAAAAAATCGTGCCCGAAGACACGCAGCAGCGGCGGCATCAAAAACGAAACCTCCCTGCCCCGCCCCCACACAAGCAAAGCGAACCCAGAAAAAAACGCACACGACGCAACGGATGCCACGCCATTTCTCGGTTGCCTGTTGCTGGCGGCAAAAACAGAAAAATAACGCTTCATGCCCGAAGACGCGCAGCAGCGGCGGCATCAAACACGAAACCTCCCCTCCCCCCGCCCTCGCACAAGAAACCGAACTCAGAAAAAAACGTGCAGGACACAGCGGCATTTTCGGTGAACATCGAAAGGCATGACGTTGCACGTCAAGGATGCGGCTAGTGACGGACCTCAGTATTTCATTATCTGGTGGTATTCTTTGATTTTGCATTTTCCAGCTCTATCTGCATTCTGAGCACCGCCAACGTGTGTTCCCGTTCCATTCGCTGGTCCTCCCGGGCCTCTTGCCTTTCTTTAGCTTGCGCCGCCATCCTCTGCTGGTGCTCGGCCTCCCGCAAGCTCCTCTCGAAGGCCATCCTGTCCTCAAACTCCTGCTTCCTCACCGCGTCCCTGCGTTCTTCGTCCTCCTTCTTCTCAGCCTTCCTGCGTTCCTCAGCCGCCGCTTCCCTCCGTTCGGCCTCCTTCCTGTGTTCAGCTGCGATTTTCTCTGCCGCCTTCATCTGACGGTCCACAAAGCTGCGACACGCGACATGGACAAGAATGGGGCATCTTCGAGGTTATTCATTCGTCAAGCACGTACGCGGTACCCTCCCTCAATTGGTGCAATATCCAACTCCCTAAATCGCGAACATGCTGGCAAACAGCTATCGCCCATGCAGACACAAAGACCACAATAAACCAAGACAAACTTGACGCCAGGGTGTTTACGGCGACATTGAGACCATCAAACGCATGTCGGGCTTACGTATCGAGTCCGTCTTCGATGCCCTTGTGCTTGTGGGTATGGTTCTTCCTCTTTCCGTTTCGCGTTGCGCCACTGGCCTGGCGCAAAGGACCCGCAGTAGCACTAGCCCCCCCGTGCCCCCCGCGAAGAGCACCGGGGGCGGACCCTTGGCCGGGACCGGTGGTGTTGACGCGACCGAGCACCAACAGCTCCGCCAGCTGCTCCGTCACCTTCTCAATCTTCTCCACCAGCTGCTTCACCACGGTCTCCGTCTTCGGCGTAGGACCGTGCCCTACGGGCCATCCTGTACCAAGCCAGCTTAAGTTGGGCACGCTCAGGCGGTCTTCGTCGCTGACGCCGTAGAGATCGCACAGCCCTTGCAAGACGAACTCCCCACACCCGTCAAATCCGGGAACCTCCACTCCAGCATCATCATCAAGAACGGCCGCAATGAGATCATGGAGGGGTTCTCTGTTGCGTTGATTCAGCATCCTTTCTCCGATTGCCGTCGTCATCATGGCCGCGGCGTTGGGAGCACTAACGAGGTCGAACGTAAAGCCCAAGTTGAGGAAGCGGTCCGCCTCCTCCCTGGTAGAACGTGCGCTCCGCAAGAAAGCTGATGGTCGGCGTTCCGATGTCCTTCGCTAAGTCTCCGAGCGGCGGGACCTGCCTCGACGCAACCGAGGGAGAGCCATCACCCACCGGCAGGGGGGCGTCGCTTGTCCCACCTATGCTCAGGGTCGGGCTCGATCGGCCGCTGGCAGTGCCGGTCGTACTTGTGGCCGGGCTCACTCGGCCACTGGCACTGCTGGCTGCCAGTTGGCTCGAGAGGGCAGAAAGCTCGGCGTCGCCCATGGCCAGGGCATCTCCAAACGGTGTAGCCTTGGCGCCTGGCCCGCACAGCCTCAGGCTCTGCTTCACCGCCAACGACCCTATGGCGGTGTTCCTGGCGGTTTCGTCTGCCTGCTTTTTCTTGCTCTCTTCCGAGTCGTGTTTTGCAGCAGCCTTTGTGTCCACGATCGCGGTCAGGGCTTTCTCCTGCGCAGAAAATGGCGTACGAATGATCAAGGGAGGGCGTGGCAGCGGCTTCAGCTCAGTATCACCCGATGCGAGGCGCGACAATAAATTTTGTCTGTGGTCGTCACCCACGTTTTCTTGCAGCGTCAGTCCCGAACAAGCGCCGACCCTCGAGACAGTTGTATTTTTTTCGCCCAAAGATACTTGTCAGTTTCCCCTAAACATCGTGCCTGCTTGAGAAGTTGTGTTCGTCGGCTCAAGTATCGGACGGGAATGGGGGGATTGTGCTCGTCCTCTTTAGCTGCTACTGTACCGAACTGTACTTTTCAGCCCCGTCGATATCGCTAAATATTTGTCGGGTTCAAATTGATTCATTTTTTTCGGGGTCCCGTGATTGCGCTCTGGTATTGTGCCCATTGTCATGGTGTCACGTGTCCGCAGAGTGTGCAAAGCTTCAGACTTGACGCTACGTAAGTATTTGGTGGGGCCTCATTGTGTGCACCCGCCAAACGACCCGCCACGTCGGGATCGGGAAGGCGGGCTTGCATCACAAAAACCGCTGTGGCGTTCGGAAAAGAGTCTATCTATCAATCAATGCCTCTCACCAGGTCGGCCTTTGTCTTCTTGTCTGCTTCATCTTCCGAACCACTGTCGGCAGTACCAGCTCCGGAGTCCCGCTGGGCTTGACCATTTCTCTTGCTCTGCTCGTCGACAAGCTTATCGAGACGCGCGGTTTGCTATGCTCCTACTCCTGAGGAGATTGCAGCTCCTGCTGCTGTATTGTACTGCTGTGCGTCGTGTGCGTGACCCTTTGCGCGCGCGGCACGTGCGGCGGGCGGTATATTTTTGAATTCAAACATGCCAATATGCGCTGTGTGTTTTGAGTTCAGACATATCTTCATTTTTTGGGTGTTTGCGCGCATCTATCTCTGTACACCCCTGACCCAGCAAAACCCAGCAAAACAAACCAGTACCCGGGCGTGCAGTCTCCCCTCGCTGACGGCCGCTGCATCGGCGATGTGGCGTTCGGCAACGGGGTTCGAGAAGGGCACTGGCACCGTGAGAGAAGCCAATGTTATGTACCACATCCACCAACAGCACCTGCAGCACAACAGACAACTTCTGCCATCCACCGCCGGCAAGAAAAACTAAAACTCACCTTGTTGCGCCAGCATTAGATCGTAAATTAGCTCGGGTTCCATATCTTGCTCTTCCTCGCCTTCCTGGCTTTCTTCGCTGTGGGCGCTGCTGGTCTGGGCGCTACTGGTGCGTCCACTGCTACCACATCGTCGTCGTCGTCTCCCAGAGACTCCTCTCCCCCGTCTGAACTAAGCCGGCAAATCCCTCGGCGGCCTTCTGGCGCGCAGACTCTCCTCTCCCGAGCCTAATCCCAGCCTCTACGGCCTTCGAGGGTGCTGGGGTTCTCTTGCTAGCCCTTGACAAGTTCGTGGTGCAGACCGGGTGTGCGTCTGCTAATTCAGGTTATTCCAAATCTTTTTTAGATCGAAGCGGCTTTCGCGCCGCTTCGATCGGAAGAAAAAAAACGATTTAGGGTTGTTAAATCTGGAAATGTCGAGACTGTCAAGAGCGTTCCCCAGAACGCCGGCTTAAATCTGCTCTTCACTCTTAATTCAGCTTCTTTAAAATATTTTTTGGAGTCCGAAACTGTCAACTGTGATTTTTTTTTTTTGTAATTTTGTTTTGTCGAACATTTATAATACGCACATACTAGTATATGTTGTTTAGTCTAGTGGAGTGAGGGTCAGGTAGCTTCACAGCAGTGGTGGAGGCTATACAACGTACGGGTTGGCTGAGTAACTGATTTGGGGGGAATGGAGCGGAGACATGAAAGGGAATTACCCACGAGGGTTGAGAGTATGGTGTTTCTTTCGTCTGTCAGGGTTCCACACGGTGTCCCGTATTAGTCATTCAACATATGTGACGCGTAGAGAAACAATGCCAGAACTCTTGAGCACAACAAATTTACCCTCCAGATAGAAACAACAGCAGCAGAAAAGGTCAGCAACCTACATACACATACGGGTCTTTCGTAGTCACCAGAGGGAACAACACCACCGTCGATGTCGAATTTGTCCCGGTATCGCTCACCGTGAACTATCGCCAACAGCGATTGAGGGAGCAACTGCAGCAGCTGCAGCAGCAGCAGCAGCAGCAGATCAGCGGGGTACCAAAATAACCCCGTGTTGTTGTTTGTTGTTGTTGTTTCTCACATTAGCTCTAAAAAAAAAAGATTGGGAGCCCGTGGTCTCAAAACCCGGCATACACGACCCCACGAAGAAACAGAAAAAAATAGGGTACAAAAACCACTCGGAAGAGAAACAAAATGATAGAAAGACCAGCTACCGCACCAAACGAGAAAGAGCGTCGAGGAGACCGATCAAAATAAAATAAAAGGAGAACGGGGAACGCTTCCCACACCCGCCTACAACGCCGGAGGGTTCCGTGCCGGGTTCCCGCCGACCAGGCATCCCCCGCCCTGCACCACACCCCAGGGGGTGCAGCAAGACGGGGGGCGAAAAACAAACACATATATAT